TTCTGCTCTCTGTGTTAGGTTATTGCTGCTCAACCAGTTCCACGATGTCCTGCCAGGCAGCTGCATCCAGCTGGTGGTTGAGGATGCCCTGCAATACTACACAGGTGAGCAGGGGGTTTGGCTGGGAGGGCGCTCACCTGTGGCAGCAGCTCCTGCCTGGTGGGGCTGGGGAGGCTCCAGCCCTGGGCTGCCAGGGCCAGCTCAGCAGCCATGTCTGAAATGGTGTTAAATTAGCAGCCAGGGGATTGAGAACCATCCCAATTTATTGGCTTTTCTGCTTGCTGCTGGCATGCCAGGATAGGCAAGGTTTTTTTCTGCCTGCCCAAGGGGTGCTTGCAGGAGCTTCAGTAACCAGAATTTTCCAGCTGAGCTGGCACAGCTCATTGTAATCTTGTAACAACAAAGTTCGGAATAATTATACACTTGAATAGCTAATAGATAATAATAGTTAATGATAATTAGCAATTGTAGCTTGGAAGGAGATGAAGTGTGTGTACATTTGCACGGGGAGTGCCAGAAGCTCTCTCAGAGCCAACTGAGGCCCTTCTGTTGCCCAGAGATCCGCAGGGCTGGTGCTCAGCTGCAGCAGGAGGCTGTGCAGTGCCTGTGCAGGGATCTGCTGCAGCCCCAGGCCTGCAGCACCCACAGCACCCTCGTGTTGAACACCTTGGCCTGGGAACGCACCGAGGTGATCGCCAGCCCTGGACCAGATGGAGCAGAGACTTTGGGTATGTCTGACTCTTTTATCAGAGTTCCCAACAGGGAAATGCTCTGCCTTTCCCTCCCCTGGGGAGGGTTTTATTGACTGTTCAATTTGTTCTTTGGACAACTTGAAAGGGCATGAAATCCTCTGAAGTATACATGAGGAAGAGGAGGGTATGGGAGGAGGCAGTAGATCTGACATGACAGCAGCAGGACAGCAGTAGTGTCACTTAGGGTTCAGTCTGGGGCGAGTGTTGGAGCAGAACTGTCGCAGACATCTTTTATGGGAACTCCTTTCCTTGGGATTTTTCCTCCTGAGGAGCTGAGAGGCCTCAGGAACAAAATGTAAACATTGATTATCTGCTGCTGTGGAGTGCAACAGGTGCATCTGTGATTGGCCCATGTTGGATGTTTGTAATTAATGGCCAATCACAGCCCAGCTGGCTCGGACAGAGAGCCAAGCCACAAATGTTTGTTATCATTCTTTGCTATTCTATTCTTAGCTAGCCTTCTGAGGAAATCCTTTCTTCTATTCTTTTAGTATGGTTTTAATGTAATATATATCATAAAATAATAAATCAAGCCTTCTGAAACATGGAGTCAGATCCTCGTCTCTTCCCTCAACCTGAAACCCCTGTGAACACCGTCACACAGAACCTCTTTTCTTTCCAGCTCTGGTGACAGTCCCCAGCATGGGCTATGCCCTGGTGCAGGAGCCATTTGTGCCTCCTCAGCCTGTGGCAGTGAGGAAACAGGTAAGCACAAGGCAGATTTCCTCAGGTCTGTGTTCCCCACATCTGGAGAAATCAGGGTTAGGGTTGAAAGGAGGAGAAATCTAAGGAATCCACAAGTTAAATTTGCATTGGAGGCACTCAGCTCCCACAGGTGTGGGTGTGTGACACCTGTTTCTGGCCTTTTCCCAAGGAGGATGGCTCCATTACCATGGAGAATGGGGTCATTGCTGTCTGCCTGGACACGATGGGGCGCCTGACCTCGCTTCAGCTGCTGGACTCAGGGAGGTCTGTGTCACCCAGTTCCTGGCCCTGAGCTCCTCAAACCTCTCCCAGACCTTCTCACTGTGCACCTTTCTCCACTGCCAGTCCTTCTGATGCTGCTGTTCCCCTGTTCCACTTTCTTTTAGAGAGTCAGTCCCAGATGGCTGCTATGCCAACCAGTTTGCACTCTTTGATGATGTTCCCCTCTACTGGGATGCCTGGGATGTGATGGATTATCACCTGCAAACCAGGTAGAGGAGCAGTGCATGCAGCACTTGGATTTTGGGTTTGCCCTGAGATTCCTGCCTCCCTCTCAGTCCTAGCTGTGAGAGAGCATTCGCTCTGCAGAGGTGAGTGCCTGCTGCATTGGGATTTGGATCTACCAGGCTGAGACTATCTCTGCCTTCCTTCCTCTCTCTAGGAAGCCAGTGACCACACTGCTGCAGCCTCTGGAAATCACCCTGGCTGGGGGCCTGCGGGGAAGTGTGAGCTTCTCCCTGCAGGTGGGGAAAAGCAGCACCTTAACCCAGGAGATCATCTTGGATGCCACGTGCCCCTACCTCCGCTTCCTGACCCAGGTTTGGCCCGTGGCTGCTGTGTGACACTGACACCCTGTGCAGCTGGGAGCTGGGGAGCTGCACCTTGGGCCTGGATTATATTCCCCCTCCCTGTATTCTTCCCTGGAGTCCCCTGCTTGAGCAAGCAGCCCAAGGCTGGGGTCCCAAGGGCCAGGGGTGGAGGTGGGACCCACCAGTTGATCCGTGTTGAGACTCTGGTGTGTTTTTGTTGTAGCTGGCGTGCACTGGCTGCTGCACACCAGGACATGAGAAATGCAGTGTTTGCCTGTCAGTCCCCCATGGTGACAATCCTTCTGCTGCCACGTTTAGGTGGAGTGGAAGGAGGCCCACAAGTTCCTGAAGGTGGAGTTCCCTGTGCAGGTGCGGAGCACGAACGCCACCTACGAGATCCAGTTTGGGCACCTGCAGCGGCCGACGCACTGGAACACGTCCTGGGACTGGGCTCGCTTCGAGGTGAGAGGGAGCTGCTCTGCTCCTGGGGCTGCTCCTGCTGCAGGCAGTGCCCCCTGTGTGCTGAACATCCCTTGTGCCTGCTCAGGTGTGGGCTCACAAGTGGCTGGATCTCTCTGAGCACGGCTTTGGGGTGGCTCTGCTGAACGACTGCAAGTACGGAGCATCGGCCCACAGGAACGTGCTCAGCCTCTCCCTGTGAGTGAGGGGTGGGTCAGGGGGGCTGCTGGGGCACTCTGCCTTCTGAGGGGTCCCTTGGAGGTCAAGGCAACACCTGCTCCTAAATGACCTCAGTTATAACAAGGAGATAGTCTGGAGGGTGGCTGTTTTCTGAGAATTATTTTAGTCAGTTAGAACTAATTCCTGTGAACTGTGCTCAAAGATAATTCAGGAGAGATCAGACGCATATTTGTAGCAGCTTTTCTGTTGCTGACCAGGAAGGGAGGCTTAAGGAGAGGAAAGGAACAGGAGTGTTAATGTTAGGGTGCATACAAAGCTAAAACAAAATGCCTACTTCAGTTTGACTTAGTGAGCTGCAATTTTCACAGATGACACCCGTTTTTTAGCTTCTAGAGCTGTCCAGGGCCTGTTTGCTGTTGTGTGTTTGCTTCCACGTCAGGGCCCAGCCTCAAGGTAGCACAGGAAGCAGCAGTCTTGTCACAGTGCTCTGGGTGACGCTGGGTGCTGCCAAGGTACCAGTGTCACTAACCTCACCTCGCCTTAGGCTGAGAGCCCCCAAGTCCCCTGATGCCACGGCAGACATTGGGCACCACCAGTTCACCTACGCTGTGATGCCTCACCAGGGTGAGTGACAGAGCTGTGCCCTGTGGGGACAGGCAGGTTGGCAGCTGCTCCAGTGAGCCTTGGGGTGAGCGTGCCCCTGGCTGTGTGTGTACAGACACTGACCACAGAGAGTTCTTGTGCTGCAGGCTCCTTCCAGGAGGCTGGTGTGATTCAGCAAGCCTACAACTTGAATTTCCCCCTCCACGTGGTACCAGCCAGCCGTGCCCAGTGCCCAGCCTGGAGTGCCTTCTCTGTCAGCTCACCTGCCGTCGTGCTGGAGGCTGTCAAGCAGGCAGGTGCTGGGGTGTACAGGAGGGCAGAGGGGCTGAGGAGCTGTTGTTGAGCAGAGTTTGCTCTTTGGTGGTCAGGCTCAGCTGGGCACAGCAGCCTGTGCTGGAGGGGCTGTGCCTGTCTCATCTGTCTGATCTCATGTGTCTGGACTCCCCCAAGGCTGAGGACAGGCCTGAGGCTGTGGTGGTTCGTCTCTACGAGGCCCACGGCAGCACAGTCACCGCCTGGCTCCAGACCCCGCTCCCCGTGAAGGAGGCGATGCTGTGAGTGCAGGCAGGAGGGCTGGGGGCGTGTGGGGATGGAGATCAGTCCTTCAGCCTTGTGCTTTGTCCCCAGCTGTGACCTCCTGGAGCGTCCCCTGGCGCAGGGCCGCCTGCCCCTGGAGCAGCAGGGCCTGAGGCTTTCCTTCACACCCTTCCGAGTGCTCTCCGTGCTCCTGGTCTGGAGCCACTGACCCCAGACATCGCCCCTTGCTGGGGCTGCAGCCACCTGGACCAGCCCTGGGAGCTCAAATCACAGGCTGACCTGTTCCCCATGCCAAGAGCTGTGCAAGGCAGCAGCTCCAGGGAAGGGCACCGTCCCTCTGTCCTGCACCCAAGTGTTGGAGAGCAGGGATTGAACAACCCTGCTCCTCAGGGAAGGAGGGCAGCTGCCCACTGCCCGACCAGGGAAGGTGGTTTTGAGTGAGCTCTGAGCTCATTTAGGTGTGGACAAAGGTGCAGACAGGTTGGTGGCCCCTGCTCCTGCTGCAGAGGTTTGGGGACCAGCAGCTTCTACAGTGACTCCTGTGTCACAGCCTTCATCTTGTCCAGCAGTGTGTAAAAACACACTCCACTCCTTCCCTTCTCCCCCTGCCTGCCCCTTGCACTGCCCTTGCAGAAGAGGAAACAAAAAAAAAATCAAGAGCATTACATAAAAAACAAGCTCCAGCCTGTTTTCTTAACCTGTTTCCAGGTAACTGCACTGACCTGTTTCCTCCCAGGTGTTTGCTGGAGTTGCTTTTTTAGTGTCTGCCTGAGAAGGATCTCACTCTTGGCACTGGGCAGGCTGAACTTACCTTTATTTTGGGGGGATGAGGTGGAGGGGAAGCCTGATCCAGCCCCTATGGAGAAGAGGCTGGGCACAGAGGGATTTATCCTTTGCATGAAAAGGCAAAAGGCATGCACAGTGATTTCTACACAAAATACTTTATTAATCAGCTAAAAACAGTGATTTGGTCAGCAGCCAGAAAGGGAGGAGGGAGAAGGAAGAGTCAGAGTCCAGTACAACACGTGGACCTGGCCCTTTTTCCCCTGAAATGCCCGTGGACAGCAGGAAAAGCCCCATCACCAGGCTCAGCTTCTCCCTCCCACATTGGCAGCATGCCACAGCAGCAAATAAGTGTGAGCACAGGTAGGGAGCAGCTCCATTTCCACTAGCACTAACCCTGGTCCATGGCCAGGCCCTGCCTGAGCTCCTCTTGGCCCCTCAGGAGGTGGCAGCAGGTGACACTCACACGGCAGGGGCTGCACCTGGAGAACAAAGAGGGCAAGGAGGAATCAGAGGGCAAAGGGGTATCCAGCTCTGCCCCATGGGCTCCTCTCCTTCCCCTCCATCCCTTTACCACCAGGGAGCTCTCCCAGAGTCCCCAGGGGTGCACAAAGGCACTGCCAGGCTCACCTGTGCCCCTGCGAGCGGATGCGCGGCGGCTTCTCCTGACACGCTGAGGCACCTCAGGCGAGGCTGGGGCAGCACTCACTGTCCTCCTCCCACGGGCACGTCCCTTCCTTGGCCTGCCAGCCTGCTCCTCCTGCTCTTCCTTCACTTCCTTCTCTTCCTTCTCCTCCTGCTCTTCCTTCTCTTCCTTCTCTTCCTTCTCCTCCTGCTCTTCCTTCTCTTCCTTTGGGAGTTTCGCTGCAGCCCTGCGGCGCTGCTTCGGGGCACGGGGGGTGACCTGGGTGAGTGTCAGAGCTGGAGATGACCAAGGTGGGCAACTCCATGTGGGATCATCACCATGAACAGGGCAGGGGCAGCAGGACAGACAGACACAGCCACACAGCTGCTCACCTTGGGGCTCGGTGCCTCGGGCTCTGCCTTCAGCTCTGGGCTCTTCTTGCGGGGCGCCTTGCGGGGTCTCTGCCCTGCACCAGAGATGGGGGGTGAGGAGAGGGTGAGGCAGAGCCTGGAACAGCATCCCACTTGCAGGGATGCTGTTCTGAGTGAGGATGAAAAACCAGCTGCCCCCAGGCAGGTTTGGATGCTGGTAAGAAGCCTTGGGGACAAATGGCTTCTGTCCCCTGGTGCCAACGGCTGTCAAAGGCCTGGCAGCACCCCAGAGAGAATGGCTTTGCTCCAGCCTGTGCCCCTGTGCTGCACAGCAAGAACAGGCTTTCCTAGGAGCCCTCCTGGAGTGGGTCCCTCAGGAAGGGAAGAGGAAACTCACCTTTGGGAGCCATGGGGCCAGGCTCTCCCTGTAAGGAAGGCACAGAGCATTGGCTGGGGTGCAGTCATTCTGCAGGCAGCAGCAGCAGAATCCCTGACCCTTCTCCATCCTCCAGCCACTGCAGTGACAGGGAAACATCCACATTTCCCTGGGAAGGCAGGGGAGTTGGGCTTGCTCTGCCTGCCCTTTGCCTTGGGGACTCTGCCATCATTCCCTGTACCTGCAAGGCCCCAAACACAGGGCCCAGGAGGGAAGAACAGGGCTGCCAGACCACCCAAACACCCCCTCTTCCCTCCATCTGCTGCAGATTGCTCACCACCCATTAGCTGGCTGCCCACCACAAAGGAGGTCCTTGTCACCCCCCATGCCCAGGAGCTGGGTGGAGAGGGAGACCCCCAGGCACACAGAGCAATGGGAGTCTCAGCAAGCAGAAAACAGGCCAGAGTCCTTGGAGGAGTGGTTTGGGGGCTCCCAGGCCCCTACCTGGAACCATATGGTCCTGCCACTGCGGTCCCGCAGGGAGCTCATGCCGGGCACCAAGTAACACTGCAGCCAGTTCTTAAAGTTGGAGTAATTATCCGGCTGCTCGGGGTCCAGGAGCTGCTTCTCTGGGAGGGGAGACAGGGAAAGGAGAGAATCAGAGCAGAAGCTGTGACCACCATGTCAGGGTGGCCCCCCACACCTCATGATGCTGAGCATGCCAAGCCCTGCCCTCCCTGCCAGCCCCGTCCCCTCACCTGCCATGATCACCTCCATGGGCACGCTGTGGCACAGCTCCAGCAGATCTGGGTTCTCCTGCCTCAGCTTCACCTTCTTGCTCAGCGTCAGGGAAGGATCCTGCAGGCATGGAGAAGGGCACAGGAGTCACCTGGCAGCTGCCTCTGCTTCCTCAGCTTCTCTCCTCCCGTCCTCTTCCCCATCTCTTGCCCTCCAGAGGATGAGCTCTCCACACATGACAGCCCTGAGCTCACCACACAGTAGCCTTCCAACTTAGCTACAAAGCCATGAAAGAGGGCTAACACACAGAAACACCAGCAGCAGGTCGTGTAGTGTAGTTTTCAGGCTTAAAATAGCCACTTCCTCTCCCCTGAGGCCACAAGATCAGCCTTGGGCTTTACTGCAGCCTTCCCCTTGGGGATTTTAAGCTTGCAAGGTGTTTGTTTCCCTCTCCTCTTCCTCTCCACCCACCCCAAAACCACTTGTAGACTTCCTTAGGGCAGGAAGCTCATCAAGAAGGGCCACGGGCAAGCAAACCTCTGCCTTTGGCATCTGTCTGGAAACCTGCTGCTTTCTGAGCCTGTGAAAGCACCTGGTGCTCCCCACCTTCTTCCTCCTCTCCTGCTCCTGCTCCTTCAGGGCCTCCAGCACGGTCCGAGCTTTTTCAAAGGGAGGGATCTTCAACCTGAGAGAGTTACACAAAGAAGGTCCCTGTCACCCCTTTTCTTCAACAAAAGAAAACAATGTAAGCAACAGTAGTAGAAGCTGCTGTTGTCCATAACAATCTGTTATTTTGAGGCACACGTTTTCACGATAGGTTTTAATGTCTACTTGGTATATTTCATTTCAATTCCACGTTTTAGGAAAAATGCATTCCCTCAACTCCCACCCACTTCCTGTACCCCTCTACTGCAGTTTCCTGCTTCTTTGCCCTGATGGCTCTTTCTAATTCTAGCTACATTTAATTCCTACACTCAGGAGTGGGAAACTTAGTCCTTTTCACACAACTACAGCATGACATAGAGTTGAGGCATGTTTTAATTAAAAGACAAGAGTGGTGAACAAATTTTCATAAGGAGCAGATTGTCTAATAGAACTTACACGGTTTCTATGAATTAGGCTATAAACCCCAAAACTATATAATACTATGTAGTGGGTGCTCAACCCACCTTACCTGTACAGGATCTCAGCACGCAGGTAATTCCCAATTCCATTGAAATACTTCTGGTTTAAGAGCACCTCACAGATGGGCTTGTCAAAAGCCCTGTCCTCCAGGTTCTTCAGCACATTCTCCCTGCAAGCGAGCACGGGCCATCAAGAAGAGTCACCCGGACATGTCTGTGCAGGGAAAGCCGCCAGACCCGAGCGGGGGCATTCCCGGGGGGCTCACCTGAACGCCTGGTACTCGGACACCACGCAGGGCCCGCGCTCCGGCTGCCAGGCGTCCCCCAGGCGCCAGGACCCGAAGCGCCGCGGGTCCACGAAGCAGAGGGCGCGGGGGGGGCTCTCCCGGGTCAGGAAGCGCAGGTGGGCATGGCGGGGCAGCTCGGCGGCGGGGCACAGCCGGAACGAGCCCGACATGCCGAAGCGGAACACCAGGTCCTGCGCGGGGGGACTGGCGGCGGGGTCCAGCGCGCTCAGCGTCAGCCGCAGCTCCTTGCCGCGGGCGACGGCCGAGATGCCGTAGGCCTCGCTGCGGAAGGGCACCTCGGGGCCGCGGCCCACGGCAGAGCGCTCCACGCCGCCCGCGAACACCAGCGCCCCGCAGGCCCCGTTGATGAAGCGCCCGGCCAGGTGCAGCTCCGGGCACTCGGGCATGGTGGCGGCCGCACGGCACGGCCCGAGCCCGCCGCCACCGCCGGGGCACGGCCCGCCCCCATTGGCTGCGCGGGGCGCGGGGAGCGCTCCCATTGGCTGCGGCGCGGGCGGCGCGCGCTCCCATTGGCCGCGGGCTGATCCCGGAGGTCGGTGCCCTGCCGGGGCGGTCCCGCCGCGGGCGGAGGTTGCACAACGCGGGGCGACACAGCGGGACACGGCTCAGCTTTGTCACCGAAACTTTATTGGAGCTGCCCCGAGGAGCCTCGGGAGCCTGGAGGGAAGGGAAACGTCCTCCTCCGCAGCCAGGAGCACCAATCTGGACTCCCAGCTCAGTGTCACAGCCTCCCGCCATGGCTGGGCTCCTTAGAGAAGGGTGTTCATCAGCGCCTGGGCCTGCTTCAGCTCTGCAGAGAGATGTGGGGATGTAGGGGAGCTGCTGGTACTGCAGCATCCCTTCCAGCATCCCATTCCCAGCGTGCCTCCCACAGCAATTCCCCCCGCAGGATCCCCCACGGAGGTCCCCGCTGCCACCCCTCGTGGTGCCTCACCTGCCAGCAGCACCCAGAACTTGTTGGCCGAGAGCGTCACAGGGACAGCCGTCATCTTCTCACACTCTCTGTCCCGCACGTTGAAGGTGAGGTGCACCACGGGCTCATTGACCTCCTGCAGCTCGCTGGAGCTCAGGGTGTAATCCACCCGCCAGTGCACCGAGCCCAGCTGGCTCACTAGGGTGGGCAGTGGCAAGGTGTCAGCAGCCCGGCTCTCTCCAGCAGGGTAACCCCAAACCCCCAGCACCCCACTCACATCGCAGGCTGCAGGCCCTGAGCCTGTCCTGGAGGGGGCTCTGCTTCTCCTCATAGGAACGGCACAACCCGCTGGCATGCTCTGCTCGTCAGGGGACACAAGGGAAAAACCCCTCTGCTCACACCAGACCTGCAGCTGCCAAACCCCCCAAAGCACCCCAGGGACCGACGGCACACAAGGGAGGTGATGGGGACAGCACAGCAGCCAGCCTGCCCTCCATCTGGGTGGGAACTGCCACCCTCAGGGTTTTCCCTACCTTTGGGCAGTCCCAGCTGCTGCAGCTCGCTTGACAGAGACTCACTGTCTACATTGTGCTTGGCTGCACTGGAGAGGATGAAGCCGAGGACAGCAATGGTCGCCTTCACATCCCCTGACTCTGCAGACAGGAGGGAGGGCGAGCTCTGTCACCTTGGGAAGGCAGCCCCAGATCCATTGCTGCCCATCCCTGCAGCATGGCTCCATCGGGGGATCCTGGTAAGGACAGCAGTGCTCACCTAACTTTGCATCTGAGGTCAGCTTCAGGATCTTGTCATACTGTGAGAGAGCAGAGCATCACGGTGGGCACCAGCTAACACACTCACTACCAGTGTTAACACTGACAATTCTTACCTAAACATTAATAATAATAAAACTTACTATGCATATTAGTACTACTAGCAGAGGCCGGTAGCGTTCTTAACGCTGAGGCTTGCATGAAGAACACGAGATTAATTAACGTTGCTGATTATGCCATTGTAGCGCTGGCCTCCACTGCGGTACCCCACACTTACCTCGATGGGCTCCCCCAGCAGGTCCCGCAGCACCTGGGCGCAGATCAGCTTCAGCTTCACCGAGGACTGCGGGGGAGAAAGGAGAGTGAGCAGCGGGCCTGCGGCAGGCGGGGCGCGGGCGGGGGACACGGGGGACACTTAACTATTTTGGCCAGGGTGCTGATCTCGGCCAGCACCCAGTCGGGGCAGTCCAGGTCCCCGCAGAAGCGGAAGCGCTGCGGGAGAACAGGCGGTCAGAGCGGGCAGCGGGCTCCACACGCCCTCCCCGCTCCCCGCCGCCCAACCCCTCCCCACCATGTCGCCGCTGCTCCCCGGTCCGCGCTCCTACGGCAGAGCCGCCTTTCCGACCCGGAACCACTCCCGAGCCGCTGCCCGCTACGCCGCTCCCCGCCGGGGCGCTCCGGTAGGGGCTCGGCGGGGCCTGTTAGCCGGGACCCGGCAGGAGAGCGGCCGGAGGAGGGGCCGGGACTGCCGGAGCGGCACCCGAGGCGCGCCCGGCCCGTCGAGCAGCGCGGGCTCCGCCCCACCGGCGCCTCGCGCTCCCACGGGCCGCGCCTCACAGCGCCCCGCCCGCCAATCCCCGCTCTGTCCAATCACGGCCGCCAATCTCGGCCCGCCTTTCTCCGCCCTGTCCAATCACAGCCGCGCTTTCGGTCCGGGGGCGGTCCCGTCCAGCCCAGCCCGCGCAGGCGCAGTCCCGCCCAGCCCGGCCCCTCAGGCCGCCCTGAGGGCAGCGGTGGCGCCGCCTCCGTCCCGCACTCGCGTTTGCACCCGCGGCCGCAGGGCCGGAGCGGAAATGTGGCGTTCGGAGCCGGGGCTGAAGCTTTACGGGCCTCGACCTGAAATAAAGATCATGTTCTGGTGCACAAGCAACTGCCCCTGGCCGCAGGGGACCCCAGACAATCCCTTTAAACCGAGAATGCACCCATGTCACTGGCCAGTGAGTTGGGCAGTTATGACCTTTATCACTCATGTCTGTAAGAGCAGGACATTCAATGCCCCTATGAAAGGGGGTGCACTTCAGTAGATGTTGGCTGTTGCTGCATGAACCTCGGTGTGTGTTTGTCACATTCCTGTCTCCACCATCAGTGACAGTCCCCTGTTTGAACTTAAATCCAACCTATCACTGGGGACTTGTTTACTTCTCTTTTCTAACAAGCTAGGCTGGCTGAGTTGGTGTCTGTTAGGCCAAATTTCCTGTGTAGCTCTAGGCCAGCTGTAGCTGTCACAGCTCCCCCTTTCTGTTCTAAAACATGCAAGGTGCTCTCTGTCATCCCTCTGCAAGGGCCCTTTGCAAACAGGATGGCAGGACAGAGTGGCGACACAGACGATTCTGCCCAACTCAACAAGCCTAGATTCTCTCAGCCAGTGATGTTGTTACAATAAAGTTGTAACATTCATTCCCAGGAGCTGTCAGGTGGGATCACACACAATACAAAATTTCAAAATGGCATGCCCCAGGCTTATAACTGGGAGGTTACAAACTTTTAACTCTACGAACTGGAAACATTTTAACTTTAGAACTGTGAGAAGATAACAGGGAAAACAACTTGTCAAGTTCAGGTTTTGACTCAAATATATAAAATACTCAAGACCCCATATTATAAAATCTTTGTGTCGTTTGAATAGGTAAAATCCTTAAACAAACTGTCACTTCAGAAGGTCCCAAATCTCCATGTAACAGGTATAGAAGTTGTTAAAATCGCTGGTCCACGATATCTGCTGAGGGACCATCAGGAGGGTGCTGTCTCTGGTCCCCAGCAGGACATAGGGCAGGGCAGACACACCTGGCTGGTGTCCATCCTGTTCTGATGTCTGTGGAAATGCACCCATACCCACATCCCCATGGACCTTCCCTCCTGTTTGTGAGAATGTCTTTTGTCATTGCTTTAGGTGACTGGGCATCACTTGATGACTGTAATGATAGGAAATGGGTTAAGATTACTGGGTTTTGGGATTGTTCTGGTCCTGTTAAGTGATTCAGTGTGTAAACAGTTTTTGCTACTCTGCTCTGTGGGTGTTTTCTTCCATTAGATGAACTGCACAATGGAACTTGGCATTGCATTGTGCAGCTTTTCAGTCCAAGAGTCCTTAATCTCTGGAGCCATCAGGATAATGGATTTAAAGCATTTTCTATATGATTAAATGTCATGGCAGGCAGAGGAGGTAGAGTGCTGTGACCTTCCCAGAAAAGCATCTTTAAAAACACATCCTGGGTGCACGGGCACATCTCACTCTTGCCCAGTGATTTCAGCTCTTGGGTGATTTCAGCCACGAGCAGCACAGAAGGAAAGGAGAGAATCTTTGTATGGGGTTCCACAGAGGGTCTTTATTGAGCTCCTACCCCCAAGGGGTCCAGGGACAAAGATCTCTCCCAGACAACAAGACATGGGGTTTATAAAGGGATACTGAGGGGCAGGCAGAACACCAGAACGAATGAGATGAGGGCACAGGGGTGGAACAAAGGGGAAGGGCCAATGGGATACATAGAACAAGCATGCAACAATGCATTCTGAGGGAAGCTTTTTTCCTCACCATGACCAGGGAGGTTGTTGCTTAAGGGTTGTCCCTCCAAGGGAGTATGGTAAGCTTCTCCTCAGTTTACCAGCCTCCACAATTAAACATGTGAAGGAAAAGTCTTGAAGTTTCAGTAATTTACTCTACAAAACTTATACAAAATAACTATACAAAAACTTTAAAATATCTAATGCAAAGATTAGCTTCTAAGTGTAAAAAAATAAATCTTCTTAAATTAAACATGAAGGGGAAAGGAAATACAGACTGATTTATGTTCTCCAAAAGGAAGGTGTCAGGATGCCCTTTGGTAATGGAATTTCCTCTGCCTGTAGACATTTCTGCACAAAAGTCTTCAAACGTGACAAACAGCCCATCTGGCCCGAGCTGGTCACAGCTTCAATTCTTGGGATATAGGATTTCTGGATGAAGAGCATTGTTTTCCAGAACTGAATCCCATACTGCCTCATCAGAGCATTGCCACACACCTCCAGGAAATCCAGAAGCAGCACAGCTGTCACATCTGCCAGAGGCTCCAGATTCAACATCTGCGCAAGCCAGCGCCATCCATAGCACAGACCGTGAGGATGAGCCCCTTGCCCGCTTCCATACGGCCAGCGGAGCTGAATGATGGCAGCGTAGAGACGAATCATTCCTGACATCCTTTTAAGAAAATGATCTGCTTCTTCCACTTTGGAATCATGAACTTCATATCCAAGCATCCTCTGGTACTCTTCCATTGAAGTCCCTTCTTTCCGAGCGGGGTAAAATGGCACAGAATATGGGCACTTTTTGTGCAGATGAGCTAAAAAGATGTCTCCAACTCGAGGGTGTAGTTCCCAGATTCCTGAGAGCACCGCAGCCATTGGGAAAGCTGAATCGTGGTTGAAAGATACTTCTCCTTCCCCATGTCTCACAAACTTCTCTGCAAGTTTGTAACAAACAAATTCCAGCCCCTGTGGATGCAGAGTCGCCCATACCATTTGGCCTTCAGTCTGAACAGGCTTCCCAGACAGCAGGTTATTGATCTTATCAAACACCTCTCTCAGCTGAGAGCCTGATATGCTAGAGATCTGGCTCACAGGGATTGTAGCTGCTTTCTGCAGGTTTGTCTTTATCTTCTTCACCTCAGTGTTGCCTTTGCAGTTTCCAATATCACTGAAAGCAGCAGCACATTGCTCAGCAGCATCCTGAAGCTGCCAGTACCACTGCATGATGCTTCCTTCTGTTTCAACTTGAAGTCCTTCCTTCTGCTGCTTTCCCCACGACTGCTGTGCAGGGACAGAAGTCTGCCACATCATCTGCTCTCTTTTCTCTAACTCTTTCTGGTTTTGCTTCTTTTCCTCTTCATATTTCCTCCTTTTTCCTTCTAGAGCTGCAGTGATTTCCTGCTGCATGCTGGATATCACCCCTCTCATCTCCTGCAGGGCTTGTTCAGAGCTGGCCACATCTGCTGGATCCGGGAGCCCCGTCTTGCTCGCGATGCGGATGAGCCCTGACACCCGTGCACAGATCTGGTTGCCACGATCGCTGTACGCAGCCAGATCCATTCTGGGCAAATCTTTGTGCCTGGAGCTGGGATCAATCTGCTGGTTCAGCTGCAGCAGTTCCTCCTGGATGGAATAAAGGCGGTGCAGTCTCTCCTGACCCTCTTTCCTGCGCAGAAGCTCCTGCTCTTCCTGGTGTTGCCTCTGCTGCTCTGCCTCACGCAATTTTAGGTTCAATATCTTTGCTCTACGTTGGTGTTCTTCCTTCAACTTCTCTTGCTGCCTCTGAGCCTCCTTTGAGCTCTTCTCCATTACTTCTTGCAGCTCTTGGAATTCCTGATGCCGCTTCAGCTCCCTCAGTTCATCAAAGTGCTTCAGCTGCTCACTGGCCTGGGCATAGGCTGCCCTCACCATCTGCTCCAGCTCCTCCTGCCGCTGTCTCAGCCTCTCCCTTGCTTTCAGCCTGTGCATCTCTTCATACATCCGAATGCAGCCTTCGACTTTTGCAGCTTTAGATGACAGAACTGCTGAAGCAACTTCTTGATTTATTTCCAGTAGACTAAGATGATCGTTTTCCTTTTGCTCAATAGGATTGGGCAGAGCTGTTGGTAATGCGGCTGTGGTGACGATACTTTGTGGCTCTGCTGAGGGATGATGGCTCTGGTTCTCTCTCGTATCCTTTGCTGGTAGACAGCTCTGTGCCATGGTGGGATGGTTGGCTGGCACATTGTCCCTGCCCTGGGCAGTGGCACAGCCCCAGGCAGCCACAGGGCACTCTGCAGACAGGTCACCCCCTCCCAGGGAGACTCCCTTGCACCACATGGGGGATGTTCTGCCTGTTCTCCTCCCCTGCTCGCCCAGTGCCATCCCCTGCAGCAGCCTCATGTCTCGTTTGCTCTCCAACTGTTTGATCAGGTCCAGGATGAGCCTCCAGGGTTTGACAACATTGATGGCAGTTTCATCGGCTGTGGCAGCTGCTGCAAGTATGCATCTGCCAGCCCAATCCCACGTGTTTAAATCCAAGGCTGCCTCTTCGGACACGTCCAGTCCGTGGCTCCCACACCACTTTAGTAAGGCCAGTAAAGCCTGTTTATCATATTTAATCCCTCTTCTTGTTAAAATAAGGCTCCATACCTGGAGTGTAGGGTCTTCTGGAACTGATACCCACGCTCCCATTTATCCCAGTGATGTCTGTAAATCACCAAGGTGTTTGGATCCACGTGGCTTTCCCTGCTGTTCCTTGCCACACTCTCCACTTCAGGCAGAGCACTCCACTGCCCGCAGTGCTCTCTGCCCACCCGCAGCTTCCTCTGCTGACTGCCGCTCTGTCTTGGCTAGAAAGACTGGTGTCTGCTTCCAGAAGGCAAGATCCTGCAGAAGAGGGGAGTTTTCCTCTGAAGATCCACTGGTGAAGAAGAAGGGTCTGGTCTTCCTCTGGGAATCCAGTGGAAAAGGCTGCCTGTGGTGTTTGAAGTCCCAGATTATATCCTGGAAGCAATGCTTGGCTCCTCCCCCTGGGTGGAGCATCTCACAATGGGAAGATGGAATTTTATCAGTCAGGCAGTGACACTCAATGGCTCATTAACAGAAGATATCTCCCTGGTGGGAGGATGGGTCATGGAAGAGATAAAGAACACTGCCCCATCTGGTTTTAACAGATGGTAATAGAATACATCTGGTTACATCTTGCATTGCAACCTAAGACAGTTAAATATTTTCTAAATCTTAGGACATATAGCCGTTTTCTTTCAAGAGGTAAGACAAATCCAACTGAAAGAGCTGTGATGGAACACTGATAAACACCTGTTTGTGGATAAAAAACATACAGTGTGTTCACCTTTGATTTTGTCTAAGATTCTACTGCTCGTTACAATCTTTGTTCCAATTGCTGTTTTGTCTTCCATAGATAACACAGTAAGATCAGTGATGATTTTATATTATGGCTGTTATTGATTGTAAGCTGTTTTAGCATTTTTCTTTATTTTCCTGTCATAGGTACATGACTGTTTAGAAAGGTATTATCTCAGCTTCCTCAGAGGTTTATGGCTGATAGATTGATTACAGGATGTGAATTTTCCAATTTAATAATAGGCATTGTTCATAAGATGTTATTAGTGTACTTATAGCTGGTTTCTTCTATGCTTTAACATCTCTTTGTGTAATTATCTAAAACACACGTGGTTTCAGGATCCTTCTTTGTTCTCTAGCTGTTTATGCATCTCCTAGACCAGGTTAGAGCCAATGCAGGGACCAGCCAGAGAGCTATGGTTTGACCCAATACTGTCTCATAATTTTAAGCATTTTTCAGAGTTCCAAGAAAAGAATCTGAGCTTTGTTGAAAGCCTCCTCTATAATAATAACTGGGAAAAACCACAAGACTAGCAGTTCAGAAGTATTCCAGCAGTTTGCTGTGTTTGAAGCATCTCTATCCTGAAGGAAACTTCAGAGTGATGCCAGAGCTAGGTGGTTTGATTAGTCTTTAACCCCAAGGCCTTTACTCATAACTGCTATTTTTAGGAGCCTTGTTTTAAAATGTGTTTAGGGAATTCCCTCCCAGTTGGAGCCTGGGTGGTGGCATGGCTTGGGTCTACCTGGATGGAGAATTTGCCAATAAACCCAGATGTCTTCTGCATCAAAACTAGATTCAAGTCACTTTAACTTGGCAATTTGACCCTTTATATGTTACAGCTGAACCTATTTCTAGAGTGAGTTTGGGAATTATTATCCAGCAATAATTATCCAATCCCTCACTAAATTGAGGTTTGTCAGCTGGTTGCAGACTCTGGGATTCCTAATTACCCAATTTCACATGTCGCATGGATCTCTGAGAATTTGCATCATCCCTGTCTCCAACCAATGACCTCACATACCACCTCTTCTCTTGGATTTGCTTCCCCATAAAGTCATGCTTTAGCTTCAGGAGAGATGAGCTACTCAACTGATCCCCTGGTGACAGGGAGAGGTGGCATTTAAAGGTCACCTGCTGCCACAAACCCCACGGCTTCCCTGGTTTTAAACACAGCAGCCCTACAAAATGACCTTGGGTTTGCTCCTGGGGACCAGAGAATCCCTCTCCACACCTCAAATCATCTGGCAATCCCCCAAATTATCCAATAGAGCCAAAACAAAGATGGTTTCTTGGTCTCAGGAGGCATTTGGAGGGGAGTGGGAGATTGATGGGTTAAAAATTTGCTTTTTTTAACTCCCCAGCACTAGGGCTGTTATCCCAGAGCTGCAGAGGACCAAGCCCAGCTCGCAGGCACCAGCAGAGCAGCAGCACCTGGCTGGGGTGGTGCTGGGAGCCAAGGAGGAAGGTCAGTTCAACACCACCCCCACACCAGACACACATCTTTCACAGCTGGGTTTCACGGTCTACAAACAGTTTATTTAAGATACAAAATTCACAAACTGATTCCTTAACAGACCTGAGTCTGCATTCTGCTCAGGGAGCCCCTGGCAGCTGCTGTCACAAGGTCAGGGAGAGCTTCTCAGCATCTCCTTCCCACACACAGCCCCTCTCCAGGCTCCCCCCAGCTGCAGATTCTGCTTCTCTCCTCAGGCAGAAGTGCTTTGCCACTCAAAGGCAGAAGTGCTTTGCCACTCAAAGGCAGAAGTGCTTTGCCACTCAAAGTGACTATCCTCAGAGTCCTGCAGCGGAGAGGGAAGAAGTCACTTGAAACCCCTCCAGTGAAGGCAGGAGTGAGGGTCCCTGCCCTCCAGGTCCCCACAGGGTTCTCCAGCCCCAGAGATCCTCACCAGCTAACAGGAGAACCTGTGAGCTGCAGAAACACCAGCTCTCAGGCACAAAAGATAATGCAAAGGATACAAAGGCCACTCACCTCTGTCCAGAAGCCCTGGTTATCCATTTCCAACGTCTGCACCCCCACTTCAGGGTCTCTCCTGTCCCAAAGGGCTCCTCCAGCCTGCCAGCCCAGCCTCTTGGTGCCCAGGCACTGGGGAGGAGAGCACAGGCACTGCAGCCCCAGCAGCCCCACAGAGCCCCCCAGCCCAGCCCAGCCGACAGAACCAGCCCTCACCACGAGCACGATGGGCGCAGCCACGATGCAGAGGCCACCGATGACCACCAAGGCCACTCCGTAGGCTGGGAAGCCACGCTGGGGCCTGGGAGGATCCAGGGTGTCCTCTGGAGCAGAACAGAGCATTGAGAGCCTGGAGCAGCTGCTCTGCCCCACAGGCTGCCAGCCACCCACTGCCCCGGGATGAACACAGGGGATTCATGAACTCCTGTTCCACCCCCTCCATGCCTTCTCCTCCCAGCCCACAGCAGCCTGCAGCACAAGGTCCCCAACCCCAACGCCCCAGGCCATGCAGAGGCCAAGGGCACAACTGTCACTAAATGTCACTGCCTGCTCAGCTCAGCAGCCAAGACACCTGAGCCTCTCCTCACACAGGGGATCAGGATGGGGTCAGCTGTGGATCCACCCTGCTCCCAGTGCAGGTGTGGAGCTTGGAATCTGGATGTGGCACTTGGGGATATGGTTTAGGGGTGACTATGGTGGTGCTCAATTCATGGTTGGACTAGATGTTCTTAAAGGTCTCCTGCAAATTTGATGATCCCGTGATTCTGTAACCCTTTGCTCTGGAGCTTTGTTATCCCCTGCCCACTGGGTGAAAAAATCCTTAAATTGATGCTGAAATAATTGCTGTCCCTAAAGGCTTAAACACACACCTCTTTATCTCCAAAGACAACAAACCTACAACAACTCTAAAACAGCCACCATGAAGGCTCACAAGATCGTCCTCATCTACTTAGAATGACAAATCTCTCTTGTCAGTGATTTCTGTATCCGTGGATATCACCTTGACAGTGAAAACCAGAAAACATTCTTCAATCATAATGTCAGTCATTTTCCCAGGTACCCAGGTGCCAGAGGGGAGCTTACCTCCCACAGCCAGAGAGAATGGATCCACGTGGATGTCAGAGCCAGCCAGAGCCTGGTTTGGTCCCACTGCGTGCACGAGGGTCTTCAGCACCTGCACGCTGGTTGGAGCGGGGTGCTGGAAGATCATGTTCCCATGGCAGAGCAAGGAGCCAGGCCTGCAGACAGGGATGGGAACAGCTCCAGCAGCTGCCAGCCCCACCATGACCCCACAGTGGGATGGGTGGGCACTGCCAGCCTCCTCCCAGAGGGTTTTGCTCAGCAGGAAGAGATCTGTGCACTCAGGGAGCCCTGGGATGGAAGGGACATCCCTGGAGGTCCAGCAAGTCACCACTGCTCCAATGGCTTAATGCTTGACCTCAGCTTCCTCTGCAGATCCTTCTGCAGCCAAAAACGTGCAGCTGTCAGCCATGAGCTGCTGGCTGGTGTCTGAAGGGACCCCCCCCCCGCCCCTGTGCAGCCCTGCCCCACAGAACCCCTGCTCCCACTCACAGGAATTCCTTGATGATGGCTGTCAGGAAGGATGGGTAATCCCTCAGGGCTCTGGCCACCTGGAAGAAAGGGTGTGCTCAGCTCCCTGTCAGCTTTTGGAGCATTTTGGACACCCCAAAGCAGCCCCTCTCCCTCCCTTCTCACCCCACTGGGAGGACCTCAACCCCACCAGCCCCATTCCTACCACATCACCAAGTTCCCTGGAGAGATTGTGGTGCTCTTCAGAGAGAGGATCCTGAAGCTTCTGGCTGAAGGGTCTGTTGGTGACGACAAAGGACAGAGGGTACACGAGCAGACCCAGCTTGGACCCTGAAGGAGCAGGAAACAAGAGCTGGCTGAGCACATTTGGCAGCGACCCTGCCCACAGCACACACAGGGACCATCCTTACCCTCCACCGAGATGGAGCTCAGGTCCTTGGAGAGGTCTGAGAGCGCAGTCAGGGCTTCCAGAACCTCCTCAACATCAGCATGGACAACTGTGTCTAGGTAGAGGTCTCCAGTGATCTCCGTGTTCCCACCCAGGTTCCTGAGGGGAGAGAAGAGCTCTGAGCAAGGCAGGAGGGTTGGGACCCAGCCCCAACACTTTTACTGGAGGTTTTCTCCTGAGACCCCCACAGAAGGGGCTCAAATACAGTTTCCCCCAGCTGCACATCCCCTGCCAGCTTTTCCCCTCCCCTCCATCCTTGCAGCACAGCTGATGAGCTGCAGAGGGCACAGGAGAGAGTGAAGGCAATGAAATCAAGAGATTGGCAGAGGAGCAGCTGCAGCCCATACCTGAGCTGGGAGATGGTGAAGTTCCTCACGTTGTAGAGGCCACTGACAGATGCAGTAATCTAGGCAGGGAGAAGACAACAGTTCACACCTTCCCCTGTTTAGCACAGGTTAATCCAGCATCCAGGCTGTGCCCATTCCCTCAGCATCTCCCTTTGGAAGAGGCCCCAGGGCTTGGCATACCTCTTGGACCAGCTTCTTCAGCAGATCCATCCTGTCCACCCCAAGCTGGGAGCCAGTGAGGGAGATGGACAACTTCTCTGGGTCCAGGTTCTCCAGGCTGAAGCCTAAGGGAGTTGGGAAAAGCTACACTCAGACCTGTTCCTGCAGCTTCCTTGGGAGGTAATGCTCAGCCCAGAGCTCACCCATGGCCACACAGCAAAGGCAGAAAGCAGCAGGGCAGCTGAGTGAGGAGGGGTCCCTTTGGATGTGGGAAAGGTTGGGATGAACCATTTCCCAGCAGAGCTGGGGCAAAGAGGGGAGGCCAGGGAGCTGAGCAGAAGCCCTGGCACACACAGATCCAGCTGTTACAGATGTGCCCTCCACCACCCTCCATATCCTTACAGTGGATTTACACAGGGATGTTCAGGGAAGGAAAAGCCTGGAACCCAAACTGCACGGGTTTTGGCTTGGAGAGGGGCACAAGGAGGGCGCCTGGCAGCAGCCCTGCTGTGGGAAGATGTTCGGCACTCACCTGCAGACTGGACAGACTGGGGCTCCAGCTGCCAGCTGAAGATGCTCCTCCCCTTGCTCGCCTCCGTGACCACGGTGCGGATCAGGTGGGAGTTGGTGGGAGCAGGAGCATCCCCCCGGAACAGAGCCTCCCCTCTCACCACCACGGAGCCGTTCCTGCAGGGACAGGACACAGTGGGCTGCACACCTACTGCTTTTTTATCTTTTCCAGGTGCATTTATCCAGGAATTCAGACAGGGATCCCTCGGGATGATGACACCAGGGAGGGAGTATAGCCCCCTCAATGCTCCTGTCTGGGGATTTCCTGGGCAAACAATTCCCTCCAAGCCAAAGCTGCAGCAGCTTGGAAGAAAAAACCAAATGGAGACCACTGCTTCATCCAGCAGGGTCCATCTTTATTTCACACACGCCAATATTTATGTTTCTAGCATGGGAAAGATTGAAGAAAACCTCATGAATGTGTAAGGGGAAAGACAAAATAGCTTACACCACCAAACACTCATTAAAGCACACAAGATTTCTGCCCTTATCAGCCATTCACTCCAACATCCACCTCCCAGCCTTCAGGGAGGCAAGGGAAAAACAAATCACCCGTGGTGTTCATGGCTGCAGCCATTCCTCTGGAATGCACCTTTCCCAGGGGAACACAGAGTCTCTATCAAAGTGAAACAAGTTGCTCTTCTACTCAGGACTCTCTTTAAGGCCAGGGTGGCCAGCAGAGGCCACTGCTGCTACAAACCCAGCGCTCCTGCAGCTGCACACTCACATGAACTCGAGGACATTCGCCTGCAGGAAGCTCTCGTAGCTGGACAGCATCTGGTTGAGCTGGAAGGAAGAAGCACCTGGTAATTAACTGAGGAGGATTTCCAAGCTCCCCCATGTGAAGGGGAAGTGTAGGAGCAGGTGGGCAATAAATAGAGGGAATTCAGCCCAGGCTGCCCAGGGGAGGGCACGCTGGCAGCCCAGGGAGTGCCAGCCCTCTGGGAATGCTGGGCATGAGCTGGGATACCCAGAGCAGCCACCCCCATCCTGGCAGGGAATGCCCCAGCAATAACGCCCCGTGCCAGGGCCCTGCAGGCTGCCAGGGCTGAGGGGAGCCCAGTCCCAGCTCAAACCAAGCTCCAGTGGAGCAGTGCCAGGGCTTTGCCCACCCTCACCATGCTCAGGTGGGCACCCAACCAGCCAAGGGCTGGTGCAGCACTCAGGCTGCTCCCCCCATCAAGCCTTGGCACCACCCCACAGTGCCAAACGTGTCCCAGGAACCCCCAGCACCCACCATGAGTGTCACATCTCCCTCCAGCCGCCGGTAGCTCAGGGAATTCCTGCTGCCCAGGGCCGGGGCGTAGGCGATGCCCAGCAGCCGGAATTGCAGGGGCAGCACGTGCACAGGCTGGGCGGGCAAGGGCAGGCCACAGGGGTGGCATGCAGGGGGGTTTGTCCCTGTGGAGCCAGGTGTGCCCGTTGTCATCAGCTCAGCTGGGCTGGAGGCCGCTCTGGTGGCTGCAGGGAGCTGCTCCGAGGCTGTGGAGGAGTTCTGGGAAGCGCTGGAGCCACTGGGCATGGCATGGGCATGGAGGGTCAGTGCTGAGGGCACAGCCAGGCTCTGGGAGCTGGGCAGGGAGCTGGCTGCACGCCCAGCCCCAGGAGAGCACAGCAGGCAGGATGGAGAGGTCACAGTGCCGCTGGTGGCAGTGAGGTGCAGAGCTGGCTCTGTGGAGCTGGGGGCAGGCACAGAGCCTGGGCTGGCAGGGCTGGGCCCTGGAGCTCCTGCTGCAGTGGGAACAGGTCCCAGTGCTGCTGTCCTGGGCTGGCTGGGCCTGGATTCTCCTGTCACAAACGTCTGTCCAAGCTCTGGGGTGGCACCAGGGGCTGTGGAGCCCATCCCAGTCACGGTGGGACCTGCAGGGCTGGCAGCCCTGGGCTGTGCAGGGGGACAAGGCCACTCACTCTGTGTCCCCAGGGTGACAGCAGGAGCCCCAGGTGCCTCCATGGGAAGGGAAGAAGCCAGCAGGTGATGATGGTGGGCACCAGGAGCTGCTGCAGTGGCAGGAAGTGATGCCAGGACAGCATCCAGGAGTCCAGACCCAGTTCCTGGAGCAGCTGCCTCAGGCAGGGCAGTGCCAGCAGTGCCCCAGAGCCCCTCTGGTGCCAGGGCAGGGGACACCCCCAGCGTGCCAGGGCTCAGCTGGGCCCAGCTGGGTGTCCCCTGTGCTGGCAGAGCAGAGGCCACCACCTGCTCTGCTGGGCTGGGGCTCCAGGAGCCAGCACCCATCAGTGCCCATGTGGTGACATTGGGTGGGAGCTGAGACCCCACAGCTGCCCCTCGGAGTGGCACCAGTTGGTTGGGTGGCACCCGAGTCACTGCAGCCCCTGCAGAGGGGCCAGCAGCAGCTGTGGGGAGGGCAGGAGGGTGCAGCCATAGCTGGGAGGTGGCAGGGACGCCAGCAGCTGGCTCACTCCCAGCTCTGGAGGTGGCCTCAGAATCTCTCTGTGGGCTCTGGGGCTCTGCTGTGCCCGCTGGCTGCCCCAGGCCACCAGCTGCACTCGCTGCTGGCACCTGTGTGGCACCATCTGGTCCTGCTCTGTGGAGGCCACCCCGAGCAAGGTGACCCCAGGAGCCAGGGCTGGGGACACCCTCAGGCTGGAAGGGCTGAGCTGAGGCAGCAGGCACCCTTTTGCCAGGCCACGGTGTGGGGGACAGTGTGACAGCCATTGCTGTGCCCAGCCTGAGCCCTTCCCTGTCCCCAGAGCCAGGCTGTCCCTGCAGGGAGGTCCTAGGTGTCTGCGTCCCCAGGCTCTGTCCCTCAGCAGTCACAACTCCCTGGATCCCTTGGACGCAGCCCGAGGAGAGCAGGTCCCCACAGGCTGTCCCCAGAGCGTCACCCACCGCTGGCTGGGAGGCTGCTGAGCCCGGGGGAGCCCAGGTGACAGCAGCCAGAGCAGCCAGGCCGAAGGGGACAGCAGTGGCACACGCACACACGGCCAGCAGCAGGAGGGCTCTGCAGCACCGGCTGTGGGCAGCAGGACACGGCGCTGTGCCCGCAGCCCCTCCCCGCTCAGCGCGGGGCATCGTTCCTGCCGCAGGGGGCTCCCGGTGCTCCGACCCCTCCGCTCCTCTGGGAGAGCCCACGGCAAGAGCTCAGCTGTGGAGAGCGACAGGAGGGGATTCAGGGTGAGACTCTGCACTCCCACATTCCAGTGTCCAGCCCATTCCCAAGCTTCCCATCCGCTGAGCTCCCCATTAAACCCTTCCCTTGTCCCCAGCAGGCTCCCAGCTCAGGAAGGGCTGTGCCAAGCCTCAGCACCTCCGGGGAAGTTCCCAGGGTTGTAACAGCCCTGGGCTCAGACATTCCCTCATTCCCTGTCCCAAACACCCTCCTCATCCCCAGAAACCTCCCCAAGGAAAGCCAGGCCCCCCAGCACCCCTCACCTGGCAGCAGCCCAGAAGGAGAGAGCACCAAGGCCCAGCCAAGTCCTGGCTTTTATCTGCTTTCCCAGGGGAGGAGGTGGCTCTGTCCCAGCTGCTCCCAATTAACACAAACTCATCTGAGCTCCCCCAGGTGCAGCTGAGGGGTCTCAGCTTCCCTCTGCTCCTCATGGAGCTCTCAGCAGCAGCAGGAGGGGGTAGGCCTGTCCCTCCAGGCAGGGTGATCCCCAAACCCTGCTGATGCTCCCCAAAACTCCCTCTTTGTGGGGTTGTGGCAGTGTTCACCTCCTGGGCTCCACCAGCTGTGGATTGCAGCCCTTGGCTTTGGGATCAGGCAGATTCTGTGCCTGATGGAGGCTCACAATGTGGGGTCTCAGGGGTCAGCCCAGGCTGCATCCCTGAGCACCCCAGACTCTCCTGCCCAGTTTCTGATGCTCAGACATCCACCAGCAGCCTTTTCCCAGGCTGTCACCCGTGGGGTTTGTGGAGGCTGGGATGTGCTCCTGTGGTGGCATCCTGGACACTGGATCCAGCCCCCAGGGATGGCACAGAGGGGCTGGGCACAGCACTTGTGGCTTCTGCAGGGAGAAGAGGGGAAGTGCAGGGGGTGGGGGATCTGGGGACCCCCCAGCCCCAGGAAGGTCCCGTTGTGCCCAAGCTGGGAAGCAGAGACAGAAGCAGGGCAGGTCTGGAAACAAGCCAAACTCATTTAAACCAGGTGGAGGCAACTCTTCATATTCTTACAAAAAAAAATTAAATAAAGGGAAGGAACTTTCTTCCCTGGAACCTTATATATGTACAAAACCAACATTATTAACAAACACTGCTTTCCAAATCACTGTGCACAGGCATGGAGTGGTGGGGAAAAGTGAGGAGAACAGCAGCACCTCCCTCACACCCACAGCCACCTCATCCCTACGGAAAACCAGGAAGGCACCCACAGAAATCCCCCAGTAGCAAACACACCTTTTGGCAAAAATAAGTACAGTTTGGGTAGGGTCATTTCTACCCACCTCCCCACCCCAAAATAAATATTCCCTGTAGTGAAATAAAAAATTAGAATAACCCTTGTTTTGTTCTCCCTGTGCCCTGCAGCAGCTTGAAGAACACCTGAGCAATGAGTTTTTAAGGCCTCTGCTGTGTACCCTGCTGCAGCCCCCAGGGTGAGGGGCTGTCCATTGGTCCTGGCATGCCCATATCCCTCCTGGCATGCCCATAACCCTTGGAGATGAAAGGATCCCTCCTTCCA